TAGGCATGCACAAATGATTCAGCTTAAAATAAAATGAAGATGTTATTTCATAAAAAAAACAAGCAGCAAATTACAGACAAGTGTTCTATGGTATATTGTCCAAGCATTCGGCTTTTTCAATGTATATATACATGTATGTATGTGTGTTAGTTTGTGTGTGTGTTAATTATATACAAAACATATACAAATGCGCGATTGACTCCAGCTCGATTTTATGCGGTTGTCAAGTGACTTTACAATTGTGTTTATCGTTGTATGGGTGCGGAGGTTTTTTATTTCTGCCTATGAATCAGTTTTTCAATTGGAAGCCTCAACAGCCACGTGTTTAAGTGGCGTATCTTTTCGTATATGCAATTGTCAAACTGGCTGCCCATCAGCCTGAGTTCTGTTTGAACCGGTAATAATAAAGACCAATAAACGCTTACTCTTGATTAAGAGTAAGCGAATTGCAGTCAAAGAAATTTTACACTTTTTCTCTAAGAGTCATCAAAACGTGGCACTTACATATACTATTGCACATTTGTTATTGTAAGAGTGGGTGTGCGTGTGTGTGTCTGCACACATTGCATAATTTAACAGCTTGTATAACACTGTAGATGGCGCTGTCAATTCTTTTGAAATGCTAAGAGTAAGCCAATGCCAACAACTCCGCTTGGTGCAAATGGGATGGCTATCTACCATGCATGTGTGCCAATACTCTTCTCGCTACTGACATTGAGCAGTGTCAGAGAAAAGGAGAGAGAGAACAAAAGCTTTCTTTTCATGCTCTTGTATTGTTAAATTTAGATTTCAAGTGTAGGCAGCAGCAGCCAAAAAATGTTCATTCTGATTTGTTTTTGTTGCTAGAGAAATGTTGGCATAAAATTAAATTAGCAGCCACCGGCAGGCGGTCAGGCGCCCAGTCTAGGCCACTTTTCATTGACAAAACCCGCTTTTATGTAATCACTTTTCGCGAGGGGTAGGCCAGTGCCATTTAAGAGAGTCACAGAAGGAGAGCGAGAGAGATAGTGCGCGTACTAGAGAATTGTATTGCTGTAGGCGGCGGTGGGTGTTGTGAGCAGTAGCAAGCAACTGTAAAAGCGTTGGCCTGTTATCTAATCTCTCCAGAGGCGCGGGTGCTGATTCAAAGAGCTTTCGCAAAGAGCACGCGCGACCGTGATGTAACAGTTTCATTCTCAACTAGCCAACAAGCAATTCTACTGAAAAACAGGAGTTATAGAACGGAAGAAAGACTAGGCAAAGTGGCACGTGTAACTGTTTTCTTGTTTATTGCTTTGAACTTTGCTTTTGAGCCAAAAAATATTGCGGCCACCCCTTTTCAACGAGATTGCATAACTGTTTTAATCGAGCACGAGAAAAAAAATTGGAATATTGTTTAAACAATTTATCTTTCATTGTAAGCACAATAAAGCTGGTTCTAATATCATTGCACATTTTTAAATTGCTTTAAGCCTTGGTACACGTTTATGTAACAGTAAAAAAAAAAGTTTTAAGTTGCTTTAGGCCAAGTAACTAAAACAAAAAAAAAAATAATTCACCAATGCTTGCTAATTATTTATGCGTCAGTTATTATTGTTATTGACTTTGATCGAGTTGATTTTTATTTAGGCTTATGCATTTCAAATGCATTTAATATGTAATACGTACAATTTGTTTGTTTTTTTATCACAGCACCGAAAAAAAATTAATTTATCTTTATTCCTTGCGAAATCAAAGGTCTGCACCGGACGGCAACTAGATTGCTTGTGAATAATAGGAACAGTGTAGTCAACGAGCTAGCCTGCGCTGCCTAGCAGTGGTCAGCTGCTGCCTCTGCTCGCTGTGGCAGAAGTAGAGACAGAGGCAGCGACACTGACAGATTCAAGTTCACGCTCTCTGTCTCTCTCTTAAGCGTCGCAGACGCAGAGCAACAGTTGTGAGGGAGAGAATGAGTTAGAACGGCGTCGTATAACGGTAGGCATTTGAGAGACAGTTGGCAACAGAGACTAGACACACATACAAAGCTCTTGCACGTGTGCGCAAAAGCAAATGCTAAATGATCGAGAGAGAGTAAGCAAGAGAGAAGATCTTATCTATATGCATATCAATGTCTGTGTATGCGAAGCAGAACAGCGATAGCAATGAATTCAATGCCAATAGCATTGCATAACAACGTTAGCTAGACCTGATAATCAGTTCACGCATACATATAGAGAGGGAGATACTAAAGGAGAAAGAGCGAGAGAGAGTAAAAAAGGCCAGAGACTTTGATAGGAAAAGGAAGTAAAAGACAAACTTGGATATAATCTAAATCTATTACCAATGAATATTGACCAAAAACAAATAACAAATAGAATAAAACAAATTAATGTAATTGTTTTTCATTTACCCCTTTCGAGGTTTGCACTGCCTTCACAACAGAAAAAAAGCTGAATGCTTGCCAAAAATGTAAACTTTTACTCGGTTGGCAATGCGTCGACGAACATAACAGCGGCGATGGTGTTGACGCCCGCATCACAACAGCGTAGTGTAGCATGTGACTGACTTATGGAAATTTTGACGCATGTGCTGAACGCTCTCTTTTGCACTCACTCGCTGCTCTCTTCGTCGCGTGAAGCTCTTAAATGGGAAGTCGTAGGCCAATTTCTTTGTATGCGGAGGCGGAAGGCAGCGTAAGTGAAATAAATGTGCGTACTGCGATTAGATTAAATACCGCTACTCATACAACTATTTTATATAATCAGCCATTTTCAAGGTCTTCTAATCGCTGACAAATTACATAAAAAAAAATTTACGCACCAATTAATGAGAGCGACATGGGAATTGTGGCAGCGTGCCAAAGATGCAGACGTAAAGTTGATGTTGGATGCGTACTAAAAATCTAATTGCGGCTATTTAAAGGCAAACAAAAATAGATTCAAGTGCAGCTAAATCCGTTAAATGGGTTAAGTACAACGGTGCATGGCATTTAAATAGGGACTATTTCTCTTCGTTGAGTGTCGGGCGTCGCATAAACAATTAGTTTTGTGTGATCAGCAATTTATAAAATGTAAAAATTTCCACAGTTTCAAGTGCTGACGCATCAATGCGGGAGGCGATTTGTGTATCGTTTGCCAATTCTGCTGATCCGCTTGCGTGAACATTGATGAATATGAGAAATCAAAATTTGAAGATGTTTACGTAAACGTTTCACAGCATTTGACAGGACGTTTTGCTATGTTATCGTTGCCGGGCATCGGGTTAGAAAATACCGAATGCAAAATGGCGCTAAAAAAGGCCAAGCAAAAGGGCAACCAAAAATCACATGCGGCACATTAACATGACGCGTTTGCCCGGCTGACGTCATAAACAACATCAGCAGCATCTCCTTCTGTTCATAACCGGTTCCAACTATTGTAAGCAAACAGGTAAAATGTAAAAGTATCAAAAAGCAAGAATAAAACGGTCATTGGTCAACGTAGGAGAAATGTGCTCTTAGAAATTTGAAGACAAGAGAATAATGCAAAAAAAAAAAAAAAAAAAAAAAAAAC